TTCCTGTCGTGATGTATGGAAGTGAGAGCTGGACCATAAAGAAGGCCGACCACCGAAGAATTGATGCTTTTGAATTGTGTTGCTGGAGGAGACTCTTGAGATCCCCCGGACTGCAAGGAGAACAAACTGGCCCATTCTAAAGGAAATCAACCCTGAGTGCTCACTTGAAGGACAGATCCTGAAGCTGAGGCTCCAGTACTTTGGCCATCTCATGAGAAGAAAAGAGTCCTTGGAAAAAACCTTGATGTTAGGAAGGTGTGATGGCAAGAGGAGAAGGGGACGACCAAGGACGAGATGGCTGGACAGTGTCTGCGAAGCAACCAACATGAATTTGACAGACCTCCGGGAGGTAGTGAAAGATAGGAGGGCCTGGCATGCTCTGGTCCATGGGGTCACAAAGAGTTGGACACGACTAAACGACAAATCAGACTTCCTGAGCTGCCACCAAATGCTCTCCCACCCTTGGATTCTTTTATGATAGAAGGAGGAACACCACAACCTCTACTCTCTCTCTTTTGGAGTTGGCACCAACAACACACTGCCAGCCTAAACGCATCCACTAAGGGAATAAGGCCGACGGAGACAGCGTGACCTCATTCGCAGTAAATACGTACAGGAAAACGAAGAGTCGGACAGGACTAAACAACAAATCAGACTCCTTGAGCTGCCACCAAACCCTCTCCCACCCTTGGATTCTTTTATGATGGAAGGAGGAACACCACAACCTCTCCTCTCTCTCTTTTGGAGTTGGCACCAACAACACACTGCCAGCCTAAACGCATCCACTAAGGGAATAAGGCCGACGGAGACAGCGTGACCTCATTCGCAGTAAATACGTACAGGAAAGGGGACCGTGCTAAAAAGGTCGAAGGCCCAGGGCTGCTCAGCCGACGTTCGCCTTTCCTGCTGTCCCCTTCAGGTCGGTTTTCTTCCTGACACGACTCTTCAGCATGACGCTTGAGTTGCAAAAGCTTGTCGAGCAGAAGGAAGATGCCAAACTGATGAGAATGCATCACATTCTGTTTATTTATTTATTTATTATTATTTTTTAAACTGATTTCTGACCATGTCAGAGCAGCCATATTCAGGAGCCTCACGGTGGAGTGTTGGAAGCGCAGGACTTGTGGATGCAATTCTTTGGACTAGAACATTAATCTCCCAGGAAGTTTGGTTTTTTTTAAAAAAAGCCACATGACTTTTCCTTTTCGATAGGGTGTTGTTTGAAGGTGGGGGGCGGATATCCTTTGGATTTCACTCTTGGCCACTCGGAATGCAAACGTACTCCCAGTTTCCAATGTTGCTGCCTTTCCCGGGACCAGCAGCTTTTCTCTCCCTGCCCCACCCCATTTTCTATCACATCGCAAACCTTTCTTCTTCCACCCCCCCCCATGCTGAAATTTGCAGCTACTGGCCAGAAACCTATGGGTGTTTGTGAAGGTGTGTGCCACTTGTCACGCCACTTCGCAAGCCAACGGATGAGATGCTGGGGTTCAGCTCCATGGCACAACTGGGGGGTAGGACTAGGATGCCCCAGCACCACACGGTTCATGAGGAAAGTAACTTTGGTAATTCCTGCATGCTGGAAGCCATCTAGAGTGGTCATCTGACCAGATAGCCAGGGTAAAAATACAATGAATGAATGAATGAATGAATGAATGAATGAATGAATGAATGAATGAATGAATGAATGAATGAATCAATCAATCAATCAATCAATCAATCAGTCAATCAGTCAATCAGTCAATCAAAAAGCTTACAGCGGGGGCCAAGCAGGTTCTGGCCATTTGGGGACATGTTTACATCTTGGAATTATTGCACCCTGGTAAGTTTTGAATTGTGGTGGTGGAGGAGGCTCTTGAGAGTCCCCTGGACTGCAAGGAGATCAAACCTATCCATTTGAAGGAAATCAACCCTGAGTGCTCCCTGGAAGGACAGATCCTGAAGCAGAGGCTGCCAATACTTTGGCCATTTCATGATAAGAGAAGACTCCCTGGAAAAGACGCTGATGTTGGGAAAGTGTGAAGACAAGAGGAGAAGGGGACGACCAAGGACGAGGTGGTTGGACAGGGTCACCGAAGTGACCATAATGAATCTGACCAAACTCTGGAGGGCAGTCGAAGAGAGGAGGGCCTGGCGTGCTCTCTCGTCCGTGGGGTCACGAAGAGTCGGACACGACTAAACGATTTAACCGCAACAACAAAACTTGCCTTTAAGAGATTTGGTTGGGAGGGACCTTTGTGGACTGGGGTAACAATCAATCACTCCAGCAGCAACCAATTGTTCCCTCTCTGCCTCAGATGTTCGAAGAGAGCCCCGCCTCTCCACTGAAGAGTTCTTTCCCCTGTCCTTAGTCAGAAAGTCTGCAGTCAGTCAGAGTCAGTCACATAGCTTGCAGCTAGGAACTAGTTAAACTCTGTTCATGTAAACAGTCATTATTTTTCTACAGAAGGTTGTTTATTTTGATCCCTGCAGAACTGTGAGTAGATGGAACATTTTATTCTTTCTTTCATTAATATCGCCAAGTGAATCATTGAGACAGTAAGTGCTAGTTGAGGAGAACTAAGTAGAAAAGCGTGGTCTACTCTGGATGACTTGAAGCTAATTCTATTCTGCAGGACCCTGAAATTTTTACACTGTGTAGCCAGAGGTTGTTTTTTTTAAGCCACAACATTTCCACATTCTGCAAGAACTTATTCCTAATGTCTCCATTTATTTAGCTAACGAACACATTTATGCATTCCCATTCTTTGACTAAACCATGTTTGTGGGGTTTCTCCCCCCTCAACCACACACATTATTAGGGTCTTTTAAAGCACGCACATCCATGTTCTGTCCATTGGTGTCTCTGAAGCAGTCTTTAAGGCTTGAATTCTCCAAGTGTGTTGTGATTTTTTTGCAGTGTGTCTTGGGAAGACCAGAAATGTGGCTTTCATCAAGACCTCAGGACTAAGCGAAACTCCTGGCTCCCTCACTCCTGAGGGGAAGGACGTGGGCTGCTTCTCTTCGGAGGTTTTATCGGACTGCTCAGCTCAGCCCCAGTTCGAAGGTGGCGAAAAGGGTTCCCTCTTCTCTGGCCCCGGAGGAAATGACGTTACTTTTGGCTCAAGGGAAGAAGCAGCCGCCCTGCAGTGTAGTTGATGCTCCAGTAGGTTTCTGACGAGAGCAGAATCTGTCCAGGATCTATTTCTGGGGCCCCCATCTGTCTTCCAGAATCACATCCTGCCAAGTCGATTGAACAATGGGATGGACAAAATGAAGCAGAAGCTGCCCAAGAAGAAGCAGATTGCCTCAGATGTGCCACGCTAGGATCCGAGGATCAAAGCTCCAGGATTACACCCATTTGACCCCTTCTCGGGTCCCAGAGGGATCCCGGCTTAGTATCCCAGCAAAGGGACAATGGGGTGGGGTGGCAGCTGTTTGGCCTCCCCTCTTCACCTCCATGGTGCCACCAGGAACTGCCCAGAAAAAAAAAATCAAATTTACAATGGGAGGGAGGGCATGCCCACGCTGGCTAGGGCAGTCGGGGAGTTACATGCCAAAAAAGTCACTTGATCAGGTTCTGCAGGTGGTTGGAAGCCAAAAAGTTGAAGCCAGCTTGACCGAGGCATGGAGGTCACGATGTGTGCCATTGTCTTGTGTCGTCACCCCTGAAACCAGTTGCCAGCTCTGTCAGATGTATTGTGGCACCTGCTTGTTGTAGGATGGCACTCTGTGCATGCCTCAGAACTGTGCAGCCTTCTATGCTACTCAACGAGTATCAGATAGAATAGTATTGCTTTCTTATTTTTGGTTTCCCCCTTTGACTTCCATAAACTCATTTCGCAGTGGGTTTTGCCCTAACATATATATATTAAAGTAGGTCGAACTTAAGGTGCTCCAAGATTTCCTGTTTCTCTTGTGTTAACCCCAGAACAACACAGTTTCTCGTGGATTATCACTGATTGCCAAACAAGTTATAAACAGATTCTTTTTCCCCAGCACCATGGTACGGAACCAGAGTTGGAAAAATTAAGATGAGGTTTGAAAACCTATCCGTTCAACTTGGAGCCATAAGTTTTGGGTGACCGGGAGAAGTTGACAGCGGGTGCATTTTCTTTGAACTTTTTAGCTGGTTTTGGGCCCTCGGTTGATTCCTTTTGATCACCGCTCGTTTGGTAGGTCACGTACAAAGGTTCTGTGAGGCCCGAGTGGGGCCGTGCGAGCTAGTATACATCGCTCTGACCCCTTTGTGCAGCAGGCAAATAGTTACGGACTCCGATGCCTCGCCAGAGAGCAACGGAGAGAGCAAGAGGAATGACATGCTGCAGACACTGGAAAACCCATTTCCAAAGAAGAGAGTTCCTTTCTCCTCCGAGTCACTTAATCTTCCTAGTTAAAGTCCTGAGCTTAAAAGATTTCCGAACAAATGAGAGACGCACGGAGACTCCGCGCGTGTGGGGAGAATACTCATTAACTAATTGCCACTGCCTTCCAGCTGACTGGGTCCGGGGGGCTTTCGGTTCTTGCCAAGAGCAGTTCTTGTGATCTGCATTTCTTATGAAGCAGATTATCATAATGTACAGTCTATACCATACGTCCGCTTAGGAAAATTCTCTTTCAGGTGACAGCTCCCAGACACTCACGCTGGGGAAACGCGGAAGGCAGCAGGAAAAGAGGGAGACCCAAATGTGAGACGGGTGGACTCCCCAAAGGAAGCCATGAGCTCAGCAGGGCTGCTGGACACAGAACATCCTGGAGGTCGTTCGTTCATAGGGTCAGTGTAAGTCGGAGGCGACTTGACGGATAAGGAACAACATAGACCATAAACCCTGCATCCTGCATCCCTCAGGAAAGAGCCTCAACCCTGAGGCCAGTATTAAAGCTGAGCCTACCTCTTGGAGAGTAGACGGGAAGGTGGTCTCTTGCAGGTAGAATTCCGGCACGCACTGGAAGGTGACGGTCAGGAGGATCCCTAAGCAGCCCAGGTGGACGCAGGCGGCTTGGTAGAGGTCGGGGTTCACAGACTTGGAGCACTCCAAGATTTCCCCCGAAGCGGTCAAGAGGGTCAAGGAGACGACCTGCCGTGGGGAAAAAGGGTGGAAAGGGAGACCCCGTTTTAGGCTGGCCGTTCGTCAACCCCTTCCGTTCTCTGCTTCCATTTCCTGAGCTGGCGCTCAGCTTATGAAACCTTCTTTGTTTTGGACTACAGCTCCCAGAACCCACTGGGGTGGTGGATTGCGGGAGTTGTAGTCCAAACCATTATTGTCCCCAAACTTTAAATCTTTACACCCCAGCCCATTGCCTTGAATCCATTGGGTTTTCTCTCTGTGTGGGTTACTTTTTTTCAATGCATGGAAAAGTTCCTTTCTGGCTGTGACTCTCAGAGCCTCTCAGTGGCCATGCTGCTTGAGAATTCTGGAAATTATCGTTTTTAACAAATGAACTTTCCCCAGCACATAAATATCCAGCGGCATATGGACAGACGCTGTCCTTCAAACAGGGGGCCAGATTCTGCTCTGTTCAATTCCCCTGTAGGGAAAACAACAAGGAGCCCCATGGCACTTAAAAACGGGCACACTGATTGTCGCACGAACTTCACCAGATGTGTGGAAGACCATCCAGCATTTCAAGCAGAGACACACGGCTGGAGCGGGGATGCAGAGATGGACAGAGGGACACTCAGTGTAGAAAAGATAGCGATAGTAGCTAGATAATCCATGATGCAACCATACCTGAGATACTATACAGTAGGAACCCTGTATCTGCGGGGGATCAGTTTGAACCTGCCCTGTGAATGCTGAAAAATGCAGATAATAGCAAACACTATTTTTAATAGCGAACACTATATTTAGCATGGTCTCTGGCTCCATCTAGTGCCAGGTTCTGGTAATAACAACATGGAAATATATTTCTCTAGCTGCAAAGGCTATACATAACATTGGCCTCTGGCTCCTTCTAGTGGCCAGTTGTGTTAGCTTCATCGTTAGAAATAGATATTCGTAGGACTAAAAAAATTCTTTAATGTTTTCAAATTGTGGATAAGCGAATCAGTGGATAGTGATCACGCAGATAAGGGGCTAGCAAAAAAGCTGGAAAAGGTGCAGGAAAGAGGAAAGAACTGGAGAAAGATTAGCTCCTTCTAGTGGCCAGTTGTGTTAGCTTAATCGTTAGAAATATATATTCGTAGGATTAAAAAATGTCTTTAATGTTTTCAGATTGTGGATTACCGAATCTGGATACTGATCACGCAGATAAAGGGCTAGCAAAAAAGCTGGGAAAGGTGCAGGAAAGAGGAAATAAAGAACTGGAGAAAGGTTCAAATCTTGGAGAATGTTAGGAGAGACATGATATAGCCGCATCTATTTATTTGGGGAATGGAGAAAGCTCAAATACACAGGGCCTTTGTGCTTCTTTCCTTGTATAAGAACTGAAAATGAAAACTATTTGCCTCAGTGGGCAAAAGGAGTCACCAGAGATGATCTGAGGCTATTAATTTGAAGATGCATTTAAACCACAACTGATAAACAGGGAACAAGATACAATGAAGCCACTGTGATAAAAGAAACTGAAGGAAAATCATTGAATTTCTAACAATATACAACCCCCTGGGGTCCTCCCTTAGAGCTGAATAGTGAGATTATACAGGACAAATAAAGAGAGCAATGTTTCCCCATTGTGCGTATTGTTAACCCATGGAACTGACTGCCACAGGATGTATTGAGGGTTGCTAACCTGGATGACTACAAAAGGGGGTTTCCATTCATGACCCCCGAGAGGCACCAGAATCTGCCAACTGGAATGGCTTTGAAAGGGGACCCACTGAACCTGTCCACGGGCAGACAGGAAGGCGATCAATGGCTCCTGGTGAATTCTGTGATCTCCCTTCTCAGAAGCTGGTGTGTCTCTGGCTACCAGTTCGTTGGGAACCCAGGGAGGAGGACGGTGGTTGTAGTCAGTAGGTTACGGCATCCCTCTCTGTATTTGGGTTCGAGGTGGTGGGCTTCTGACCAGCACTTGATTGGCAGAACTTATCAAGCACCGAATGTTGGAATCGGTGGGTCTTCCTCCCTTCAGAACCAGCTCTCCTTTGGGTCACCGCAAATATTTTTGGAAAACGACAATGATCCTTAAGTGAGGAAATGAAGACTAGACGCCCTTCCAGAAGCTGGCAAAGAGGTTTACTCCCCTCCCCCTGGATCCCTTCCCAGCAGCAATCTGCAGACCTGGGGGATGTTGCCCTAATTCACGCCCTCTTAGGGGTTCGGTGAATGCCCCCATCTTCCCGTGGCCACCACCCAGAGGCTAAACGATGCTAAGAAGGCAGAAAGTTGAGTCCTCCTTCAGTTAAGGCCGGGGACTCCGACTCCGAAGGGCAAGGAATCCTCTCCGGGTTTTAACCTCACCTGTGCAATGGCAATGCCAAAGGGATGCAAGGCCTTAAGGTTCGGACCACAGCCCAGAGTGGATTGAACTGCCCCTGCCTCCTCAAAGCGGAGCCCCTCTCCTCCGCTGGGTTGTTCCAGATCTGCATTTAAAAGAACGGCATGTCCTCCCGGGGGCTCCTCACAAATCTTTCTCCAGCAGGCGACTCTCGTGAGCTGCTTTTCAGAGACCAGCCAGCCTCTGCAAAGACCTTCCCCCCCCCCCGTCCGCTTCCCCTCGCTTTTCCGGCCCCCTTGCCGGCCTGTCTGCCAATTAGTTTCTGGCGACGGCAACGGGGGTGTAGATTCAAGGGTGAAACAACCTGTCAGTGTGACTGAGTTCCTTTTTAGCCATGATACCGCTAGCTGTGGGATTTCTTTTTTCCCCCTCCTCCTAGCTGGAAGAGGGGAAAGCAAAACATGAGCAAATTAAGAGCCCCAGAGGCCTCCAGCAAAGTGCTGCTGGTACGGCCGGGCTTTTTCTCCATGTAGGTAATTTTCTGAGGTCAAAGAAGTCCAGAGGAGAAGACACGCTCCGGGGAAATCACTCAGAAGGGAAGCCATGCAAGCCGTCACAGCTGACGCCCTGCCATTTCTCCCTGCGGTTCTTTGCAACTCTGCTCCAAGAGCAGATGCATCTTCCCTTCCCTGCTTTCAGAAAAGAGAGAGAGAGAGAGAGAAAGGCAGACACCCCGACAGACGACTAGGGAAGCCACTGACAGGACCCCATGTTTCTGCTTCCTGTAGAGATCTGTTGATCTCGGAAGCTTGCTGATTGTTCTGCATAGAAACCCAAACAAAAGCATTGTGGGTCTTTTCAGAGTCTCACGTTCATTTTAGCTTGGCTGATTGTGTGGATTCCAGTTCTCCAGACACAGCAGAATACTCTTTTTTTTTAGTTTTAAAGTTGCCACAGAGCTCTTAATTTTCATACGTTTTTGTCTGCGTCCTCTAGCGGAAATGGGTGGCTACCGGACGGAAAACTTAAAAGCTCCCGTACATGCTTGCCAAAGGTTTCAGCATCCTCCCTCTTGACTTTGCCACTTAGAACTCTGGTCACCACACTTGAAGAAGGATGCTGACGAACTGGAACAATTTGCAACCAGGAGGATCTGGGGGCTGGAAACCAAGCCTTAGGAGGAAAGGCAGAAAAAGTTGGGCAAGTTTAGCCTTGAGAAAAGAAGACGGAGGGGGTGATAGGAGAGCACTTTTCAAATATTTGAAAGGCTGTCCTCCAGAGGAGGGGCAGGATACGTTCTCCATCATCCCAGAGTGCTGGAGGCGCAACAATGGGCTCAAGCTACAAGAAGCCAGATTTAGGCTGAAGATCAGGAAAAACTTCCTGTTTGAGCAGTATAGCAATGGAACCAATAACCTCAAGGTTATATCAGGAAAAACTTCCTGTTTGAGCAGTACAGCAATGGAAGGTTATTGCTCCAAAAGTGGAGGCAATTCAAGAAAAACTTAGATCATTCCCCGGCAGATCTGCTTTGATTGTATTCCTGCCCTGAGCAGGGGGTTGGACTGGATGGCCTCATAGGACCCTTCCGATTCAATTATTCTATGGTTCTGTAACTCACCACTTAGAAATGACCTTCCAATTCAATTATTCTATGGTTCTATAACTCACCACTTAGAAATGATAAAAGGAATGGCATAAAATCTTATTCAAATGATTCTTATAATGCCTTAAAAGCCGCTTTAAAAGTAACATTTGAAAGTGATTAGAAAACATGGCTTGTTACACCGAAAACATCCTTGCTAGCTAGCATTCGAAAAGTAACTTAGTTACACCATTGTTACTTCAAGGTTATTGTAGTAAAAGAGAACGACATGGCCTGTAAATAATTCCTCTCAAGCTCTGGATCTCCTTTCATCCCACCTTTTTCTCTCTTGCTTTTCAAGAGCAACAAAGAATTGATTTTTTATTTAAAAAATCACCATTGTGACAGCAGGGAACTGTCCCCCCCTGGGATCTTGGGGTACAGTGAACCCTGCTTCTTCTCCCCAAATCCTATAAAACCCCTTCCTGTGAGGGAGTCCGACAGGTCTCCAAAGCGAGGCTACGGCTTAACCGTGGCACCCCGACTGAGAGTTGTCTCTGATCCCTAGTTTTTGCAAAAGCCTCAAAGGAGGTAACAGGGAGCAGGAAAGATCCGCCTCCCCTTGGAAAGCCCCAGGTGATACGGCGGATCAGAACCAGCCAGTTATGTGGGGTTTGTGGGCCTCCAGCGATGTTTTTCCGGCCCTTGCCACCAGCTCTAGAAAGCGGCGTTGACCGGCGTCAGAGGCATGAGCTAAGGTGGGAAGAAGGGGGTCTCGGGCTTGGGTTGGAGGGTGGCAAGCATTAGCCGCTCTGGGCCAAAAACACGGAGCAGTCATAGGCAGAGTTTCCCAGGGCAGGTGAAGAAGAGTCCGAAGTCAGACACAACAAGCGATCTGTCGATAAACCAGGGCTTGATCTCGGAGAGGCTGACCTCGCCTCTGTTGTCTTCCATGCACCAACGCCCTGAGTTGTCATCATCCTTCTCTGGCACATGAGTCTTTCTGCCTGTCTGTCAAGTTGTTATTGGCACCGGGGTGGCGTGGGTGGGTGAAGGGACAAGGGGGGGTCTCTCCTGGCAAGACCAGACTTTGCTCCGCTTGCGGTTCCAGCGGATTCTTCACATCCCTCCTCTATTCTGGTCTCCTCTGGCTAAGGTGGGTCAGCCTGATCATCATCCTCCTCTGAAAAAGACTCAGCCATGCTGGGCATGACCCCTTGACCCCGGGCGCGACAACAAGGCAAATGCGTCTCATCATAAAAGGAAGGGCATTTGGCGGGGGGGTTCTTCATTTGCTCCGACCCAATTTCCTCAATTTGGCTTCCCTCCTTCTAAGCGTCTTTCGATTCTCTTGCAGAAAAGCGTAGAAAGCAGGCATTTGCCAATCCGTACCTACTCCTCCCAGGGGTCAAAACGGTCGGCTAGGACTCTGTTGGGCATGGTGGCCCAACAACTCATGGCCGGCCGCGAGTTGCCCACCCCAGCTTCGGTGGATGAACGATCCAAAAGCAGCCTCATGGGCTGAGTGGTGAGTCCAGAAGAAAGCAAAGCGGAAGCAAAGTGTGTTGCCTATATACCACCCCATGGCACTTAAAACACTCTCTGGGGGGTTCCCAATCGAATTAGAAGCAAAGTGTGTTGCCTATATACCGCCCCTTGGCACTTAAAACACTCTCTGGGGGGGTTCCCAATCAAATTAGCCAGCTCCACATTCCCATGCCATTCCCATGAGTTGGGTACTCAATTTATCAACCTCGGGAGGATGACTCAATCTTGAGCTGGCTCCCTGGGATTGAATCTGGATCCTGAGCAGAGATTTGGCTGCAGGACTGCAGTTTAACCCTTGCACCACGAACCTATTGCCTTCTGCTCCCCCCACCCCACTTTGTCAACCCCAGTGAGGATTTTGTGACGCCTGTTCGTGGCTGCAGAACGAGGCACATGTCCCTTCCCACTTTCTTAACTCGTTCCCTCGGATTTTCTCCTGTCATTATTTTATGGACTCGCATCTGATGGCTGCCCGTGAATTTTAAGCCGCCCTGGCTCCCCGAAAGGCAGCATGGGTGTGTCTTTTGTCTCTCCATCGATTCCCTGCCTCCTTTTCTTCGCCTCTCGCTTCTCTTTTTTACGGCCTCCCCCTTGTCATTTCTTATAATGCTCTCATTTTTGTACGGGGGTGGGAATTTGTCAATCACGCGGAACGTCGGATAATCCTTCCCGGAGTCGCGGGCGGTGGCAGGAAAAGAGATTGGTTTTGCACCGCAGCCTTGAGAAAATATTAACGACACCATAAAATAATGCCGTTTGGGGGAGGAGATATTTCTCCCCCCCCCCAAAGTGCAGCTCCCATAGCCCATGTAGAAACACCCACGTCCAGAAGGCGGACAGCGCTGGTAGCAAAGAGCCGACTTCTCCGCTCAAAAGCATTGTGATACTTCATGGTGATGCCTGCACAAATTAAGGGAACCGTGCAACGTATCCCCGGGATGGGGAAAGGCTTGATAAAAAGGGTAGCATTGGGACATCATGCAATAACGGCTGCCTCCTGTAAAAAGATGGTGGTGTGGAATCGGTTGTGGAATCGGTTGTTTACATCTTTCTGAGCAACCAGCCTCTTCTTTTTGTGCTGGCTCTATGTGACTACTTAGCCGCAAAGAAAGAAAGCCGGCGAGGGCCTAGCCCCGCTCGATTAAGCACTGTTGAGGTCTCATCTGGAGTCCTGGGTTCCAGTTCCGGACACCACACTTTAATAAGGATCCTGACAAACTGGAGCAATTCAGAGAAAGGCAGAAAGAAGGAGCAGAGGGTTGGGCTGGATGGCCTTAGAGGCCCCTTCCAACTCCATGATTCTATACTTCTATGAAAAGACGCTAGCCGTGGTTTGGTTGAACCAGGGCTTGCAGGATTGAAGCTTAAGGACTTTCTGATTAGATCCGTTGTGGGACACCACCTACTAACCCATCTCTAGTTTCTTTGTTCCCTCAAAGCTTAGTTCTGGCTGTCACAAACATAGGGTGGGAAATGAGTTTTTCCAGCAAAAGGATACTTTTGCAAGCTATTCCTGCAATTCAAAGTAACAAACGGTCGCTGGTCTTCAATGGGCAATTTAGAGGCATTAACTTGACCAAAGCCCTTCTCTTGCCTTTTTGGTATGCACTGAGATGATGGCTACAAAGAGGGTTGCAAATTTCCTCTATTTGGCTTCCCTCCTTCTAAGGTGCACTTGCACCCTTAAAGTTGCAAAAAAAAACACCCCAGACTCTAGGCAGGTGTTGTGCAAACTCCACTAAGTGTACATGCACACGTAAACCCTCCTGCCTGGTATTTCACTTTCAAAATGGACTCTTGTTGGGAGGAGAACTATGTTGGTTTGACGGCATGGACCCTGGCGAGGCCTCTTTATAGATCCCTCCCAGAAGGGGCGGTGGTGGATTCACATGGATGCTAAGGTAAGGTACAGTTCAGGGTCCCAGATGGTGAGGTCTTTCTGAATCCACTCCAGTCTTATCCCTGAATTACAAATTTTAGATTATAATAGTAATCATAACCTTAGTCCCTCTGGATCATCAATTCAAGGAGGCCCAGTGGGGAATTGAACTCCCAACTTCGGGCTCCGCAGTTGACCCTCCGAACGAGGGTCTGGTAACCTTTCCAGAGACTGGGAGAAGAAGAGAAGGGTGGAGTAGAGATGGGCATGAATTAAAAAAAGCAAATCACCAAATTTCATTCAAAAATCGCTGATTCGTTGAGTCATCTTTGTACGAATCTCTGCCTCTGACGAATATGAATCAATGAATTTTTAAGTGATTTTTTTTGATCCATTGATTTGCTTGCCTACAGAATGGCCCTCCAGGCACTCTGCAACACCGAAATTGAAGGGAAGCTCCCTCTGGCTCTCCTTTTGTCAGCCTCAACGAATCGCGAATCAAAACAAATCCCAATTTTCTGATTCGTGCTCCTAATGCTGTCGTTCTGAGCTGTCCATCAATCCTTATTTCATTCTCTTTTACCAAGCTTTGAGGCCCAGTTTTTATATGTATATATATTGTTACATATATTTTGACCCTCGGCATGTCTTCAACCGTCCCCAAGAGTAGGCAAGACGGGGCTAGCACCGGATCCTTTTAAGGAGGGGCAAAAATATTTTAAATCAATCCATACATAGAATGGACCCACTTTGAGACCTGATAGCACCTCCTACCAAGTTTTCTTGGGTGTTTCTGTGGCGCCTGAAACAGCACACTAAATAGGGCGAGGTGGGAACGGCCGGCCGCTTGGCACTCCCTGACACGAAAGGAGTTCAAATTGCATGGCAGAGTTATGATCCTTTTGTGTGGTTTCTGCCGACGTAACACAGGGCTCCAAGACTGGATCCAGAACCTGCCACAAACTATGTTTGGCTTCTGGTCAAGAAATGCCCCAGTCCTGCCCGTATGCTGTTTTATCAGGTAATCCTTCCTGGAAGTAACTGGACGCAGGTTCAAAATTCCATGTTATCAGCTTTCACCATCTTAAAAGCCGTATTTAAGGATGGAGGGGAAATTCTGTGTTGGAAACCAGGTTCGCCACATTTAATTTATCTTATTTCTCTTATTTATAGCCTGCCTCTCTTCTAATAACGAATAGCAATTGCTTTTTTATTTTAAAAAATGAGGAGGAGTGCGCCTATAAGATCAGTCACGAGGCAAGAGGCAAAGAAGCAAAGCAGATGGTAATTTGAGACGTCTGAGAGAAAGCTTTCCTCAAATTTATGGTGACGGAAAATGCATTTAAAGAGGTGGCTTTTCAAGAAAAGAAATCATTTCTTTTCCTCCCGGTGCTCACAAGGAACAAGGGTGCAAAATATGCAGGAGGAAAAGCAGCTTTGAAGAGCATCAGGGCTGATCTTGACCAGGAAGTGAGAAATGAGAACGGATCAGTTACAGAATAAATAAATTAAAAAGGGAGAAAGAAACTCCCAACTCACAGCTCCAAACCTCTTCTCCCTCTCTTAGCCTGACCTGCTTCACTGGGAAAAAAATTTTTTTTTTGAAGAAAGCCATGTGATCCCCCAAAACAATAAAAATGTAAGAATAGGGGATACCTTTATTAGACCACTAATAATATTAGACCACCAGGTTTCCTGTGATGATAAAAGGGAGGAGGGAGAACCAACGATAGGAGAACAGAAGTAGAAACGGGCAGGCAAAGACCACCCATATTGCTATTCAATATGATGTTCTGGACAAAGCATATTATTCTCCTCCAAAAGACAGGACCCGGTGTGGTGTCATGCACAGAGTAATGGACGAGGACTCCAGACCAGTGGGCCTCCAGATGTTCTTGGACTTCCACTCCCAGAAATCCTGGCCAGCAGAGGTGGTGGTGAAGGCTTCTGGGAGTTGTAGTCCAAGAACATCTGGAGGTCCAAGGTTGAGGAACCACTGCTCCAGAGGCCTGGGTTCAAATCCTCACTTAACCATGAAGCCACTCCATAAACATCTCACTGACCTTGAAAACCCTGCTTGGGTCGCTATATGTCGGAGAGGAAAGGGGGAACAAGGGTCCGGTAACCTTTCCAGAGACTGGGAGAAGAAGATAAGGGTGGAAAGGGCTCTCAGGAAGCTTCAGATCCCGGAACCGGCCATCCAGCTCATCCCCTCACTCTCCATGTTCACATTTCCAAACTCTCTGACTAAATATCAGGAAGAACCTGGCTTTAAGAGGTGCTGGACGACAGAACAGGCTGCCTCGGGAGGTGGTGGGACCCCCCCCTTTAACTAGAGGCTGATGGCATGGCCACCTCTCAGGGACGCTTCAGCCGGGGATGCATGGCCACCTCTCAGGGACGCTTCAGCTGGGGATTTCCTGCATTGAATCGGGGGTTGGACTTGATGACCTCTGAGGTCCCTTCCAGCTATACACGTCTACGACTCTACGATCTGCAAGGGAGCCGACCTCTCAGTTTTGTTTGGGGGACGTTGTGAAAAAGCCAAGTGGGGAGAGTTGCGGTCAGCGCCGTCAACGGGTGGGCTTCCGTTCGACCCACTGCAGAGACGCAGGGGCACGAGAGAGGTCAGGGTCCCTCCGGCTGCAACCCACGAGCGTCTTACCTGAGTGGCCAGGATGCCGTGCCGGATGCCCGTGTTGTGCGTGGCGGTGCCAATGACCCCGGCCGCGGCCACCTCGGAAACAGCTCCTAGACTGAACCCAAACAAGAAGAGTGAGCCGCTGGCGTTCCTCAACATGGGTGGCGATATGAACACATGTGACACTGGGAACAAAAGAGAATCCATTGCTAGCCGCTCCGGATCCCAAATGGGGGAATGAACTTGGAAAGCAGGTGACCACCATTGGAGGCACAAAAAACGCCCAGCAGAATAAGAAGGAGCTTTCCGGATGGATCCATGTTTTGGATTGGGGTGGACAAGCCATCTTTGCTCAGCCCAGGCGTCACCAGGGTTTGTAGGTATCAGAGAAATGGGGACGTGACTCTCTTTGACTAGAGTTCACAAAACCTCTGAGCCAGCCAGAAAACTTTGCCAGGAATTGTAGCTTGAAGATGGAATCATGAGCTCCAACCACACACTCAAATACTGTGGGATTTCCTCTGGTTATAAGATGGATAAGAACCTCAGAAGCGCCCTGTGCTGGATCAGGCCAAGGGCCCCTCTTAGTCCAGTTTCCTGTGTCTCACCGCAGCCCCACCAAATGCCTCGGGGAGCCCACGAGATCCCTGTCTCCCGATATCCCTCCCCTGCATCTGGCATTTTGATGAATTTGGATATACCGGTACTTGCAATTTTGTGCATAAATCACACCATCTGACAAAGATGTACCAAAACATGAGAGAGGCTGTGACTTTACTGGCTAGGGTTTGATTCACAGCCTGTCTTCCATTTTAGTTCACAGTTAATGGTCACAATGGGGCTTTGAATTGATTCAGAGCTATGTCCACGCATGGATATGGTGTGTGATCCACATTTCAGCCCACAGTTCCCTTCCTTCCTTCCTTCCTTCCTTCCTTCCTTCCTTCCTTCCTCTGGTCCCACCTCTGCTGATTCTTTTATGGTTTGCTGCCAAGGCCCTGGATTTTTTAAAGGCTGTACAGTATTAGGGAAAAGGCAGGAGCTTTCCAAAGTTCTTCATCACGTACACACAAACAGACATACCGCAGAAACAAAAGAAATCTTCTGTATTTCATCAAGGTTCTTTCTATTTCATGGCAATATTTTTTTTTCTGTGCAGAGGTGACCTAGCACTCAATGCAATGACTCTAGGCTAGACTTGTTTATTAAGCTTATAAAAAATAGGGGTCATGTGGGATACAGATTGGACCTGTGGCCCCTAAGTGTCACACCCCAACCACCGGCTTTGACCCCAGAATACCACCCACATCCACGCTCTCTGTCCCTTTGCAGACGGAAACAACTGATCCCCTAGGGAAAAGTCTGTTGGACTCAGTACGGCTTGAAAAAAGGGGAAGCGTCCAGCAGCAAGGAAAAAAGCCGGAATGGTATCAAAAAAGAGAAAAGGCTGAACTGATCCGTAAAAAATATACAGTACTTCAATCTTCAGCATCCCACTTCCCCACCCTCCACCCCCATGATTTCTCCCACCTTTCAAGCCTTCTTCTTGGTACTATGCTGTAAAATTGCTTCACCCTTATGCTAATCCTCCCAGGGGTTGGGAGCTATTTGAAGTGTCCAAGAGGTGCTGCCTCTTAGTAAGTTTCCATGATGGGGAGATTTGAACCCATGTCTCCTAATCTCATGCTGTGTCTGCTACAGCGCCACCCACTTTTTAATTGAGAATTCAGCTGAAAAGCAGCCAGCTCCCTCACATCCACGAGCCAGTAATTCCTCTTGGAAAATCTCGGACCAAACCAAACAAACAAAATAAATAAATAAATGCAAAGTCAATCTTATTAAGTTCTTCTGTGATGAAAAGTGCTCCTTTTGCCCCGATGGCCATGGCCCCGGGAGAAGCAGCCGGCCAGAACATCACCTGTGCTCCAGGTGGGAGCAGCCCTTCCTTCCTCCATTGAATTGCACAACGGCTTCCTTGAGTTTTTCCAATTAAGAGTTCCCAGAATCCCCCTAGCGAGTCAGATCACGGCCATGGCAAGTTAGGGTGCGGTGGGAGACATAGGACAAAAAGCGGGCTTTTCCCCTCGGCTCGGCTTTGGCCCCCCATGCACAGATGATGCCAAGAGTCGACGAGGGCTGCCCGGTTTCAGAAAGACCGCTGACGTTTTGGGAAACGGCAATGTTTCCTTGACTCTCCCGGGTGGTTTGCCCGCCTGTAACCACTTTGGGTCCTTTTAAGGAGAAAGGCGGGGTAGAAATGTTTGGAATAAATAAATAAATAATAAATAGGTTGTGATGTGCCACAGCAGTGCCTTGAGAAGCCGTTAAGCAAGAAGAGGAGACAGGGAGACAGCGGGCGGGTATATGTGTTCCCTCCTATTGTGTCGCTCCAAAGAAGGCGGTCAGTGGGGAACCAGCACCGTCACTCCCAAGACTTATTGTGAAATTCACTGGTGGCAGCAGTGAATGTGTGTATGTATGTATGTATGTATGGATGGATGGATGGATGGATGGATGGATGGATGGATGGATGGATGGATGGATGGATGGATGGATGGATGGATGGATGGATGGATGGATGGATGGATGGATCCGTGCATGCATGCATGTGTGCATATGTGCATGTATTTACATTTCTGTCCTACCCAATATGTAACAGAGGCACTTAGTGTAGGGCTTCGGACACCCGTCTCTCCCCGTAGATAAAACCTTACATTATAGGAGTAGAAACAATGGCAGTCACTGCAGCTGCTGGACACATTTTGCTTTTGGAGTGGCTACCAATTCTTTCCTCCCCTTTCCAGCTGTGTTTTCTGTCCTGTCTGGCTCATGAGGCTTTGCCCGGACTCTGGGACCCTTTACCTTGACTCCTCTTGCCTTTGTTTCTACCGCCGGTTGGTGCTGCTCCTCCCGCTGTCTCTGTGATGTGAGCAGCACCTGAGGCCACCTGACGGACCTCCCCTCAGGTTCCAGGGTTTGGTGCCCAAAACTCAAGAGAATGAGACATGGCTGACCTGGAAGAGCTGACCTGGCTCGCTGTGCCCTCTCAACCCGTAAACCCAGGTCTGTTCACCGAGGGAGGTCTTACTTACATGGGTAAAGCCAGGCCATGTTTGCTCAGCTCCACGTTCAGATCACGGAGCAAGATTCCGGCCTCAACGGTCACCTGCTTCTTCTCTTTGTCCACCTGGAAGGGATGAAATGGGTGTGAAATGCCATGTGGGACAGGTGACCCAGCCCCAGAGGGACGCCTTCCTCCCGAAGCAACAGGTAATCCCCAGGCGGAAAGTCCCAGGTGCATGAACACAGGATAAGACCTTTGACATGCCAAAAAAAGCCTATCAAATCTCAATCAGGCTTAGTAACACTGATCCAGAGAACGTAGCATGTTCTTCTCATTGTTGTGTTGTTGGTTTTAATTGTTCATTTAATATACAAATATTATATTCTTTTAATTTCTGTAAACTGTCCGGAATAGTGTAGGGCGCTCATGGGCTGGTCTATAAAATTAAGAAATGAAATAAATAAATGGTACATAAATAGAGCATTGATTAGAATGCTGTCCCTGACATTCTAGGATGTGTGGTCTTAAAAAAGTAACTTTTTTTCCTGAGCTCAGATCATGCCCTGCATAGGCTCAGGTCTCCTGTCTAATCAGGATGGATGTGGCAGGTAGAACTCAAGGTTGGCGGCCAAGGGAACGGGTCACGGGTCCAACACCTCTTTTACCATGAGGATCTTGTTCATTTTCCCCATCTGGACCATGAAGTCATCCGTGCAGGCGATGTCCGACGGCGAGTGTCCACCCCCGACCACTTTCACTTTCTTATTTTTCTGCCGGGCAAGAGCCAAGATCTGCAGAAAGAGGAGTCACACACACACACAACACGTCTGTAGAGAGACAACGCTTAGATAGCTTGAGCTCTTGACTAGATCTCATTTTTCAATCCTCAAATGCCTCCTTTATCACTGAAGTAGCCCTGGCCAACGTCCATCCTTCCCAGTCACTGAAAGCCAGTGGTCAAGGATGGTGGAAATCAGAGTTCATCCATGCTGGGTCAACCCAAAGTCCCTCCTCATGGCTTTGGGCTTCTCTGTTCCACAGACACGGGCCTGATCCTGTGTTGGATGGAAGAACTGATGCAACGGTTGGGTTTCCTGGCATGTTTAAGCACCTCAAGAGAAAGCCCAGGCATAGTCAGCATAACTGGCAGAGAATGTTTAAGGATAGCAATAACAAGAAGCAACCAAGACGATACGGGGACTGGAGGCTCAATCCTACGAAGAACAACTCAAAGAACTAGGGATGTTGAGCTTAACGAAGAGAAGACGCTGGGGAGACGTGAGAGCCGTCTTCCAAGATCTGAAGGGTTGCCACAGGGAAGAGGGCATCGACTGATTCTCCGTTGTGCCCGAGGGTAGGAAAAGAACTTGTGGGTGGAAACTCGTCAAATAAGCAGGAATTTCCTGACAGTGAGAACCACAAAGTGGTGGAACAGCTCGCCTCCCGATGTGGTGGGAGCCCCATCGCTGGAGGTTTTCAAGAAAAGATGGGACAGCTATCTGTTCGGATGGTCTGAGGTCTCCTGCCTTGCGCCCCAGGAGGTTGGACTAGAAGACCTCCAAGGTCCCTTCCAACCCTACAATGATTCTGTGGTAATAGCAATAATCTTGGAACTGCAGAGCTGGAAGGGACCCCTAAGGATCATCCAGTCCAGCCCCCATTGAGGAAGGCCCAGTGGGGGAATTGAACTCAAACCACTAAGCTATCCAATCACACCATTCAGTGCAGTTTTATGCTTTGGGAAAATTTTATATACCGTACATGAATATAAGCATCTTCTTACAACCCATTCCTTCCTGTTTGAGAAATAACCTTTGCTGTTGCCCATTGCAATGCTGAAAAGGTAACTGGGCCATGTTACCTTCCCCCCCCCCCCCTTTATGTTCTGTGGGGAGGGGTGAGGCTATGATAGGCGAATGGTATAAAGCATGGAAAGTTATGGTTCAGTTTTATCTACCAATGCCTTCCAGTCCCATCGAAAGCAACTAAAAAGAAACACTTACTCATTATTCCAATAGAGACCTTTGTTCTACTTGTCGGTGAAACTTCATTGCAAAGCCTGTCCCCAAGTATGAACTGCTGGACAGCTCAGGGGGTCTAGGTCTCTGGACGGGACATCAGGGACTGGACTGGATGACCCACGGGGGCCCCTTCCAGCTCTGCCGTTCTAGGATTATTATCTACGTGGCTTGTGCTTCCTTCCTTCCAAGGGCATCTGCATTTCTACAGGGAATTGGAAAGGCCACGGGGTCGAGGACCAACTCTTTCTCACCTCTTTGACCTCGTCCACCGTTGCCGGCTGGAAATACAGTTCTGGAGAGGAGCCGTAGGTCTTGGCCCAGTTCTGGAATCGGACTCCGCCTTGGCCGTGCACCTGATGCAAACAAGACACAAAAAGGAAGCCGTAGAACATAAAGACATAAGAACCTAAGAGGAGGCCTGTGCTGGATCAGGCCAAGGCCCCCATCTAGTCCAGCTCCCTGGATCTCCCAGTGGCCCCACCAGATGCCTCTGGGAACACACAAGACCACAAGATCCCTCTCTCTTGATATCCCTTCTCCTGCATCTGGCATTTGCAGGTCCCTTCGAAGCCTGGAGATTATACCTCCCCAACCTGCGATTGATGTTTCCTCCAGGAATCTGTCCGATCCCCTTTTAAAGGCATCTAGGACAGATGCCCTCACAACTTCCTGTGGCGAGGAGTTCCACAGACTAAAACACACTGGATAAAGAAAGATTTTCTTTGGTCTGTTGTCACTCTCCAGGCACTCATTTGGAGTGGAGGTCCCCTGATTCTGGTATTGCGTGAGAGGGAAAAGACCTTCCCTCTCTCCACTTCATCCGCCCCCTGCATCATTTTAGATGTCTCAATCATGTTCCCCCCCCCTCAGGTGCCTTTTCTCTAGACTCAAGAGACCCAAACGCTGTCTGTCGCCTTTCCTCATCAGGGAGGTGCCCCAACGCCATCATCCTTTGACCCCCTCTCTTCTGCCCCTTCTCCAGTTCCACAATGTATTTTTTGAGGTGCGGTGACCAGAATTGTATGCAACACTCTCGAGAGTCCCCTGGACTGCAAGGAGAACAAATCTATCCATTCTGAAGGAAGTCCACCCTGAGTGCTCCCTGGAAGGACAGATCCTGAAGCTGAGGCTTCAATACTTTGGCCATCTTATGAGAAGAGAAGACTCCCTGGAAAAGACCCTGATGTTGGGAAAGTGTGGAGGCAAGAGGAGAAAGTGGACGACCAAGGACGAGATGGATGAACAGGTCATTGAAGTGACCAACATGATTTTTGACCCAACTCTGGGAGGCAGTGGAAGACAGGAAGGCCTGGCGTGCTCTGGTCCATGGGGTCACAAAGAGTCGGACACCAATTAACGACTAAACAGCAACAACAAGCATGGAATTGGTTTTCTTCACTGGGCTTTGATTAAATTGGCCAGTCTGCTCTGTCAAGAAGCTGCCAATTCTATGCAGTTGAAAATTTGCACACAAAATATGCAGTTTTGCACAGGAATTACAATCTTTCTGCACAGTTCAGGGCTTGTTCTGCAAAAAGCAAAGCCGAACCAGACCAACCACAAGATGTCTTGCAAGGCCCCCTTGGAGAGAGAGGCACAGAGAAATCTCTAGATTAGGCATCCTTCACTCTCTAGAGAAAGCATGTAAAAATGCAAGTAGATAAATAAGTACCACCTCAGTGGGAAGGTCAGGGCGTTCCGTGTCTAGTTGTGCTGGCCATGTGACCATGGAAAAACGGTCTACAGACAAACGCCGGCTCTACGGCTTGGAGACGGGGATGAGCACCGCGCCCTAGCATCGGGCACGGGTGGACTCAATGTCAAGTGACCATGGAAAAACGGTCTACAGACAAACGCCGGCTCTACGGCTTAGAGACAGGGATGAGCACCGCGCCCTAGCATCGGACACGACTGGACTCAATGTCAAGGGGAACCTTGACCTTACCTAAGAATGTAAACCTTTGCAACTTTAGCCCCACGGTTCATTCTGAATCTCCTTCACCACATAACCTGTTTCATTTCCCTGTGACATTTAATGTCCCGGTTGTCACTTTTGTTTGAATACACATGTACTGCACAGAAAAGAATGTCCAAGTTTATGCCATGCATTTCCTTCCTTCCTTCCTTCCTTCCTTCCTTTTTTCATTGTATTTTTCCCCTTTTCATTGGAAAAGCAATTGAGAACACCCTACTGACAGAAAGGGAAATGGTAGCAGGTCATATGGAGGCACCAAAAGGAAACTTATCAAGGTCTTGAGTTCAGGATTAAGGATCCAGGAGTTCTGAAGAGGTGGCGTGGCCTCCTGAATCCCGTGGCCTGGACCCTTCTCTTCTTTCTTCAGACCCCAGTGGCTGAGAGGCACGGGATCTATTTTCACGGGCCACGTGCTTGAGGAGAGGGACCCAGTGTGATGCAGTCGAGAGAGTGACAGATGAGGACTCTGGTGACGGGGGAGCTGGTAGAACACCTCCTCGGACATCTCACAAATCTTGAAAGACCCTATTAGAGTTGCAATAAGTTGGAAGCAAATTGATGGCACACAACCACCGCCTTCTGACACACCATGTACCCTGTCGTCTCAGCAGTTTTGCTGTCAGGCCCAACGATCTTCTCTGTGCCTGGATCTGGCCAATACCTGACATATCCCTCCCCCACCCCCCGGATCTCCCCTCTCTTTACCAGGAGAGAGTTTTCCACTAACATTTAATGATCCACCCGGCAGTGAATGTTCAACTTGGATGTCGAAGAGTCACAGTAGAGGGTAAAGTTCGCAAGGCTGGGGGGCTGATGGAGAGATGGACCTCTTCTCCGGCTCCTACATCTGGCCGTCCGAGGTATCCGTCCACAGGATGGGCTTCTGCCATGACTAAGTGTCTTCTCCTGGTCTGTCTCGTATGCAAGGTTGGCCAAGATGTCTACCCGTCTCCTCACCCCAACCCTTCCCCTGCATTACGGTTGCTGGTTATGATTATTGACAACATCCTGTGGAATCTGACAAACAAAATCTTCCATTGGCTCCCTGGAGTGGGACTCTTAAACAGCTGGTTGACAGTTGGACACATTTTTGTACCACCCTTGAAGTCAAAAAAAGTATCATCTTTCTCACAGGTAGACCCATTCGGTCCTGTTTATCAGTAGCTGCTTCAGGCATAGCAGTGGGCCATCCAGTTAATTCTGACTTATAGCGACCCTTTCCAAGGTTTTCTAGGTAGAGAGTACTCAGGGGTGGTTTCATGTTCCTTTCTTGGCAATCTGGGATTGTGCAGTTTGCCCCAAGACCACCCAAGCTGGCTTGATGGGCAGGAAGCCCGGTGGGGAGTTACAGGTGTGTACGAGTGCACATCACTTTCAAAACAGGACTGTGAAACAAAGCAAGCCACTTCTGCCTGAACTTCCTGGCAATCAGGTAAGGTAAAGGTAAAGGTTCCCCTTGACATTGAGTCCAGTCGTGTCCAACTCTAGGGCACAGGAGAGAAGGGACAGAAGGGGAGTGTGTGAGTGGGGGGGGTTGTGATTCAAGAGGGGGGAAGGATATATAAAACTACAAATAGATAAAAGTGAAAGAAGATGCAGAGGAATCACATGTGTTAAGGTGGGGAATATGGACTGTTTTTGAGCATTGTGATGTGAGAGAGGGGCTTGGTAGTTGTGAAGAACAGCACAGCAGCGCTTGATCACAGCGGAAGTGTTACATTCAGTAGTGGCTCAAGAAACCTCGACTTCTATTCAATCCATGTATATGGGTGTCCATCAGGTGTACAAATTTTATCTCAACTGTTTTTCCCTCTGTGTTTTTGATCTGTAAATGACTCTGACATCCTTTGCATTATCAGTGACCTTTGCATGCTTAAACCGCAGCACAAACAGTGCCTCTGAAAAAAAATGCATCTTGTTCTGGTCCCTTCCCCCTTCTTTAAGTCCGAGCCAAGAGGCCAAAGTTCAGACAGGATAATGAGCCTGTTAATCACAGAAGGGTTAATAATAGCAGAGCATCCATCACTAGGTTAGCTATTGTCTGGTTCAGAGCCCCATAAATTCCCAAAGGCTTCAGGGCATGTTTGATTCTGTGGACTCCTCAGGGGAGATTTTCTTCTAAAGGAATTGATCAACAGCCAGCAAAATATAATGCTTCGGAAAGGCCAGAGAAAAGAAGGTCAGCAAAAGATTGTGAGGGCATCAATGGCTTAAGTGTTATCCATCAACACAGCGCTCTGTGCATTGACAGAGCATGCTGAGTGTGCACAATGTCTTAGAATCAGAGACTCGTGGGGCTGGAAGGGTCCTCCAAGGCCATCGAGTCCAACCCCCGGCTCAACGCAGGAATCCAAGTCAAAGCAGATCTGACACGGGGGGGGGTTCCAGTGCTCTCTCGAATGCCCCCCATGCTGGAGTGCTCACCACCTCCCCATTGGTTCCATTGTCATACTGCTCTAACAGTTAGGAAGTTTTTCCTGATATTCAGTTGAGATCTGGCTTTGTTTAACTTGAGGCCATTCTTACTTGTTCTGCACTCTGGGATGATTGAGAACAGATCCTGCCCCTCCTCTGGAGGACAGCCTTTCAAGGAACTGAAGAGTGTTCCCCTGTCTTCCACACAGTCCTCTTTTCTCATGGTTAAACAGCCTTTCCTTCAAGGGCTTGGTTTCCAGGCCCCTGAGCATCCTGCTTACTCTCCTCCAAACGTGTTCCAGTTTGTTGGTATCCTTTTTGCACAGTTTCCTATTCAAGAATAAACTGGTCCTTACACCAAAGGGAGCTTACTATCTGAAACAGACCCTGTGGAGACACAAGAGATGAGGGACAAGTAAGGGGTGCATGTATGGTGCATGTAGCGATGTATGGAAGTGAGAGCTGGACCATAAAGAAGGCTG